TATTATTATTATTTTAGATGAGTTGGAAAATCACCAAAAAATCACATGTTTTCTCCAAAATCGCCCATGATTTCCTATATATTATTTTGGTAATTTCGTCGAAATCTTCTCAAATTTTGGACATTTCTTGATTTCACTGAAATCATCATGTACGAATATATTGTAAATCATGTATAATTTTATAAATTTTCTTGTTGAATATTCAAATGTCCTTTTTTGGGGTATTTACTTGTTTTTTATCGATTCTTTTTAGTTTCTCACTTGTTTCTTATCGACTTTTTTTTAGTTTTAACTTGTTTTTTTTAATCTAACACCTGCTAGGTCTATATCGTTTATAGTTTGATTTTAGAATATGATTTCTGGATTTCCGTGATGATTTCGATTATTTTATTAGAATTTATAGCCTTTTCGGTGATTTTGAGTGAAAATGTACGTGTTTCGGTTATAAATATTGTAATATACTTTTCTTAAACAATTTAACATAATTCTAATAACCAAATAAAAATGTTTATGGAAAAATTCAATAGCACAATTATTTTATCTTTGACAGGTTTACGTAACGGCGTTTTTGGATACGCCTTCCGCGGTTCCATCCCTTCTTCTCGACTCACAGTAACGATCAAAAAAGTGTGAAAGAAACGAAGAAGCGACTGCGTCCGGATATACAGTAGACAGCGTTACGGACTTTGGCCGGGGCTCTCCCGGTATCGAGGGTGTTTCGCGCGTGCCACCCCGACAGTTCGGGCCCCCCATTGGCTCGACGATGAAGAGTCGCGCGCCTCATTGGCGGCGTGTGGCCCTTTCAGAAAATGCATTGGCTGACGATATTTCCGATTCGATTAGGAAGCCGTCTTAAGCGATAATAATTACTAAATGGTTTTTAATTTAGGGTAAAATAAGACACGTAGGATAATGCCGCCAAAATAACTCTTCAATATAGTAAGACAAAAAATGTTTTTTTAAAACCCTGTTTTTTTTTCAGCTAGTTTTTCAGGGAGGACAATAACAATTGAAGACACAAGTGGATGAAGGGCCTATGTAACATTTTTTAAAATATTATTTTTCTGTGAATGAAGGGCTTATGTACCTAAAATTCGTTTAAAATGTCTTCCGTCTTTAGACTGATCACTATTTATATTCACCACTGTCTATCTACTAATTACTATTTATATTCACTGTCCATATAACAACTGATTCTGATGGCTCTCCTCCACCAATTTATATACAAATTGGTGGTCTAGAATGCTCCCCCACCAAAATTGTCAGTATGTACCAGAAACGTTATCACGTTCTAGAAATAGTATCTCGTTGACTCTGGAATGTTCGCGAAAGTGTCTCCACCATAGTCGTCCCATAGAAAGGTCTTAAGGGGTTTAATTATGTATAATAATCGGGCAAGTTGAGCCTCAAAGGCCAAATAAAACAGAGAGGGACTTGTAGGGTTAGAGCATGACTGAATAATGAAATGGCTCACATAACAATATAATACGAAACAACAGTAACAAAATAAAAACAGTTTCAAACTTACAAAAGATTTATTCAAAATTAAAACAGATAATACATGATCATGATACATGATGGTAAAGTTTTACAAAAATTAGACTTTTTGGAAGATTTTCCATTTCAAGTTGCTTTAAAAAGTTACACTCTATAGAAATGATAGCAAGATTTTTTAATATTTGGTAAAATAATCTACTCGCCAAAAATAATTATCGTTGAATTTGTTATTTACTACTCACGGAATTCTTAGCGTACAATCATTTCTATCTGGATAGGAAAATAAACTAGAACTGGGATCACTATAATTGTTTGGTTTGTAGTAATTATCGATAGTATCTTTAAAACACATTATTTGTGGCAAATTAAAATCGCCACAAATGAGGTATAGTCACAGCTTATACAATACAGCTCCACAACTCCGTGTCGGCGTCTTTGATCTGGCGGTCGAGAACCAAGCAAGACGGAATGGTGCTATCTCTGTTAGATTCGAAGGAAAAGTCGAGCCCGGATTAAAATATTTTTTTATTATTGAAAAAATTGAAAACCTTGGCGTAATGAGGTTGGTTACATCCCATATTAAGTAAGTTTTGGGAAATTAAATTTTTAATTTGTTTTAAATTTGTCAAATATAATTAAAAAATTATTTAAATATAAATATTACGAAAAATAGCACATCTTTCGAATTAGAGGTTGAATAATTTGTATGTGGCTAGTAAAATCCTCGTTAACAAATGTTTTGAGCTAAAACAGTCACTTCACGACAATTTGTGGCTTGGATCCTTTTTACACCAAGGGCTTCAATTGTTAAATAATTTTGTCACGCTCGTGGATGCAAATCAAGTAGTACCCCGTGTGTCTGGCAATGTTACTCATCGCGCAAAGGGTTTATACCTAAATAAACGAATGCTTCGACTGAGGTCTGGGAACTCTATGGTATTTTGGAATTATAAAGAATTTGTGCTTTTATTTTAACAATATTGGTTATATTTAGATGTATTCTTATTAATTGAAATACAGATTTGTAGAAGTAATACTTTGACAGTTTTTATTAATATAATATATTCAATTTTTATCTGACCATACCGAAGTAGGGAATTTTGAACCTTTATAGTAATGTGAAATTTGAATTACAATATTACACGAAATTACATAATTATTACTTATTTTAGGTAGGTACTAAATTTGTACTTGGAGAAAGTAATATCGATTTTTACAAGAAAACTTGAAAAGTAAATTAATTTAGTTCCTATTTCTGATGTAAAACTTAAACCAAGAAAACAAATAAATAGTAGTTTGTTCAACAAGGGTGGATATGATTGCCATATCACACAAAGACGAAGTTTGAGCACGACGTCGTAGGCGGAGTACTCAATCGTCTGATTGTGATATGAACAATCCACTCGATATGGTCAGTATATTTTTTCTACGACCCACTAACGAAAATCTACAAATTTAAAAAATGATTTTAGGTTATTTAGACAAAATAACTAATTTTAAAATAATTTACGAAGTTGGCTAATTTATAAAATAAAATAAACATGAAAAAATAATTAGTCCTCGGCCTAGATTCGATCCCGGGCTTTTAGCGTGGAAGGCAGATGCTCTATCCTCATCTTCACCGAAACTTTCAGGACTTTAGTTTTAATACTCGTAATTAAATTAGTATCATGTAGTTTGATTAAAAAATTTTTTTTTTAAATGTGGACACAATAAAAACAAAAATGCTATTATTCATCGAGTCTACACAAAAATTTTAATGTACTTTTTCGTTCTGTAGTATGTGCGTAGATTGGCTAATATCCATGCACAGATTACAAAACGAAAAAGTACATTGCCTTTAATTGAACGAATATATTTCATATTCATTCTAGGTAGTAAGAACACTGCAAAAAAAAATAAATTCGTCAATCACCGTTCCTATTTTGATCAACCGACTGCTATTATTTTTAAAATTTTAAATAAATGGCAATTCTGTCAAACTAATTGTCAGTATATTTTTTAGTTATTGAGATTAAACATACATTAAAATAGGTTATATTCTTTTGAAAAACGTTAGCATGGATGACTAAAGGGTATTGGGTTAATTAATTCTAAAAGTGTGGTACAAATGTTATTTTTTATAGCCAATTCTTCAAAATTATTTTGAAATATCTTTTCAATATTGAATATTAGTTCTACAAATTCATCATTTGACAGTTGCAGATTTCCAAATGTATCTCTGAATTGGCGTTATTAAATGCCTTTAAAAATCAATAAGAAGAAAAATCATCTAATTCAACGTGTTCTTTGTTATATATAAGACAGGTATCACAGTAGTGGATCCTCAAGGCTTTTATTAAAAGGTAACCACACACATACCTGATAAAAATTTTCTGTAGCAACTCGTCTTTACAATAATTTAGGGTGTTAATAATTTCATCATAAAATAAAATACAATGTGTTCCATTTAAAAAACATACATTTTAATTTGCCAGACAAAAACGTGACACCCTGTATATCCAAAGAACTTTTTAAAATATGTAGGTATTTTTCAAATCCATATAACTTTTATTTAAAACTTTTTTGCGTGTCTATAACAAAATAATGAACAATAACGCACTAATGGGACACCCTGTATAAATGATATTTTTAACAATGAACATTTCTTATAATGTGGTACTTATTGGTTTGGGTCCTTGGGAAAACTAAAGAATGTTTTCTTGCAGGTATAACCCTTATTAAAACAGCTTTTGACTGCACAAACAGAATGATTTCTTTTTTTTTTTACTCATTCTACTCACAGCTAAAGAGTCACCAAAATAATAACAGTACCTTTAACTCAAACAAAATCAACGAAATTATAGGCTCCACGAAATTATACAATCAACGAAATTATACGCACGACTCAACACCTTACCTAAGTACGCTTCTGAACGCCAAAACCGTCTTTTCCCTCCGAAGGCGGAGCTTAAGCGATGCGCAACGAGATCGACGCAAACCGTTGCCGCCAAGAGAGTGTTTTAGCTGTATTGTATAAGCTGTGGTATAGTTATCATTTATGTTATTTAGAAAAATATGAAGAAATTTAGTACCACCCTGTCACAACAAATATGAACCTTATGAACTGATAAAGCCTATTCATTCTAGTTAATATACTAAATTTGATATCTGTGTGAATCTCTATTTGAGAGCTTATTTAAGTTGAAAATATGACAAAAATTAATTGCAACGTAATTATTTTTTAACCCATTTAATAAATTATTAATATACAGGCTGTCCCAATGAAAAGTAGCCCGTTTCCATTTAATAAAATTTGGTTACGGTGATTTTAAAAGAGGAGATTTTTAAAAAATGCCCTATATAGGTAATACATAATTTCTGTGTCACTGAAGCAAAACTTATAGCAAAAATCGCACGTTTCTACAATTTCTTTAAAAGTTATGGGCTACTTTTCATTGGGACACCCTCTATTTAGACAAAAGTAATTATTTTTACTGAAAAATGGTATTTTTCCGTTACAGTGCGTAAGGACAATTAAAGGCCCATCGTCCATCGAGGAAAAGACTCGTTAGGACCGACATACCCGATAAAAACACCGACTCAAATGCGACATAGTAATAGGGCTGGCCCAAAAAGGGGCGGGATGATGGCACATCCCTCGCACGCACACGCTTCCAGCCACGGTTATTCCGAATCGGAAGAAGAAGACCGTTTAGAATACCGTGGACGTCACAGCGGCCGCTGGTGTTCCGTTGGCGCCGCGTACCGTGTCCTGCGAGTCCTTCGTCCTGCTGCGAGGCCTTCGAATCCTGCCGGTGCTGCTGCTGCGACCTATTTGTGCATCAAGTTTTGGCGTGTAGCGGATGGTGTGCTAATAAATAGTACGGTAAGTTTTTGATTTATTTTCTCAATTTAGTTAAAATTAGTATATAATTTTACATATTCAAGCCAAAATGAAACTTGATTATAACAACTTGTGTGTATTAAGTTTGCAGTTCGAGACGTACTCGAGAGCTGCAATATGCTTATTACACATGTTGTACACACCATTTTTTCTACGGTTGAATTAAATTTCTTTTTATTTCAAATTTAATTATTTTATAATAGAAGAAATATTACTAATACCTAGAATAATTCTAATCATAACATGAACAGACTTAACTAGCGTTATAAAAGTGGGGATATAACGTCACATTCCATTGGCGTACTTTGCAAAATAAGTTTCTATATTATAAATAAAGTCGCGGTATATAAAATGGTATACACATACGCACTTCATAGATTAAATTTTGAATGGAAAGAGTTATATTATTTACAAAAATCTTATTGTTGAACATTAATATTGAATGAATTAAATATAACCAATAAATAACAAGGAAGATTATATGTTCTTAATAGGATTAAAATTTTTTATTCTTTTGACATTACAATTGACATTTCAGTAATATAAAAAGTTCAAGAACTATCTTTAAAAGTCACTGTATTCACTATAATTACTGGTATCTTTATCATGGTCTTTTCTGAGATTAATTGTTATAGGGTCTGTTAAGTTTTCCATTGCTACATTCACTTTCCAAAATAAATTTTCCACCTTTTTAACATGATCAATGCATTGTCTCCAATATTTTCCATTTATATATGAAACTGCCTTTAAAAACAAATTTATTGTGATCAGTTCAGTGGGATTTAACTTTTCCTTTGTAAGGAGGCAATCTGAAAATTTCAATTCGTTTTTCTCTGACTATCTAGTCCATATTATATTTATAGAATTTGTTTTTATGTTGCTTTTAAGGATTTAGAAGGACTGCACGATAATGTTTTCAGTATGAAGCCATTTTGAAATATCTTCTTTTTTCCATTTTGTAGTAGTTAGCGACTCCTTTAATCCACCGTGATGTTCTGAAATCAATTTTCAAACACAGGCCCATAAATTTCTTCATAGTAGTCTTGTTTTCTTTAACTCAAACATTAATAAACCATCTGATAAAAGTCCACCGGTGCTTCCATTGTGGGTTATTATTAAACAATTTCCTTTTTCTGCTGATTTTTTTAATTCACAAGAAACCCCTTCCATAGAGGCCTATTTTTTAGTTGTGGTGAAGGTATTTTGTCAAATTTTTGTTACAATATATCCAGCATTAGATACTATAACTGAAACATCAGCGCTCATATCTTCATGGTAGTCTCCGGTTTTTTCTAGATTGAATTATTAAAGAACCACGTTTTGAAAACCCGTCATCACTTCCAATGGGGTCTATTCTGTAACAATTCCTTTATATTTAACGGCCTTTAAAAATATTGGCGACCTTTAAAAATATGTTTGTATTCGTTAATTTACTTCTGTCATTATTTAAACAGATTTCTTTAAGATAGTCGTCTAATGTATTTTAAAGATCCGTTTAAATAATGACGGAAGTAAAGAAAAAAATATTTTTAAAGGCCGTTAAATATAAAGGAATTGTTACAGAATAGACCCTACTATGAGTTATAATTAGACGTCGTCCTTTACCGGAAGGAATCTTCAATCCTGTTGAGTTTCCCGTAGTTTTGGCTTTCCTATTTCAGGAAAATACGAATCATTATTCATGAACTAAATTACTATTGCATTAGATATTTATTATGTGAAACTTCATTAAAAGATTTGTCAAATTCCTTTCGGGTAAAGAGTTTTCATTACTTGGGAAGCTATCCTACCGGCTTCTTCAAAAATTGATTTAATTTGGTAAAATATACGAGTATACACGAAAAATGTTAATTTCTTATTGACTTTAGTAATGATAAACTCAACTTATACTCTCACTACCCAAGTAAGTAACACCCATGGTATATACCAGATTGTTTCTGTTTAGATTTTGCTACAAAGCTTTAGATCCTGGTACTAATACTGCTACTTTATTAAGTATGGCTACTTTAATGATTCTTTTGAGGTAACTATTACTTCAGTGATACCATTTGTTGGAACTGTAAACACCCATAACTATTATAGTACCAGTAAATCAATTACTGCCTCCCACCAGTGGCACTAATATGCCTAAATAACGAGCCTGAATATATAGTAAGGCAAAAAGGTTCCAGATTAATCACAGTAGAATTTGGTTAGTTATTGGAACTGGGAACTATCATTTTATTGTTACTCTATAATGCAGAAACTACCAGTGAATCAGTTATAGTCTATTTTTATGTATGAGAGAGTATTACAATAATAAAGCGTTCGTAATCCATAGGCGTACCACTTCTTTTAGTAGACAGTTAAAATATTATTTGAAGTTATTCCTCGAGTATACACTTATATTTTCACCTAATTAACCTGCTTATAACTTCTAAACAGCTGAAGGTAAAAAAGTTGAATTTTTTCTAAAATGTTTTATTTTTCCACAAGGTATGTTAAGAACATTGTGTCAAACGGGTTATGTAGGTATAAGAGTTTAAACTTTGACTTTTAAACAACGTTACGTTCATAAATAATAATTTTAATATAAAAACTACTTCTTACCTGCAAATCCAAATCAGAATCGAAATCAGAAGATGAACTGTCGCAACCAATATTTACAATGAGTGGCTCGATCATTTCATCAGTAATATTGTCCAACTTCCACATTTTCTCTTCTTCTTTATTCGTATGATTTACTGCCTCTTCCCAGTTTTCAGGCTTCACATTATTTACAGCCTCCAAAAACAACTGTTTAACATCACTCATTTTAAAAGAATTATATTTTCTTGGAACTTCTCCCTTTATCTGTGCCCATATCAGTTCAATCGGGTTTACTTCGCAATGATATGGTGGTGATCTAACCACCGTCATCCCACGATTTTTTGCAATTTCATCAATTTCATATTTTTTTAATTTCTCTTTATGAAGGGAACACAAATGATACAGGTCTTTTCTCACAGAACCGGGATGGAACTTAATATTCTTTGAATTTAGCCAATTCTGTAAATCTTTTTTTAACCACTTGGTTGTGGGCATTTTTTCTATGTCTCGAGTGATAACTTGCATTATCCATTACTATTATACAGTTCTGAGGAAGAAGATCTATAATTTGTTCGAACCACTCTTTAAAGACATCAGCATTCATGTCCTCATGGTAGTCACCGGTACTAGTAGATTCAAAAGTCAATAAACCACCTTTAACAAAACCGTTTGAACTACCGATGTGTACTATTATTAGTCTGCGCCCCTTTCCTGATGGTGGATTTAAACCAGTAGATAAATTATTTAAAAAAGCCTGTCTTCGACTTGTAACAGTTTCATCTTGCCAAAATTTATTTGGTTTATGTCCCTCGTTGATCCATGTTTCATCTAAATAAAATATATTTCTTCTTTGGTTTCTCATTTCTTTTATAGTCCTTAGGTAATTTCTTCTCCATACTACAATATCGCTTCTTTCTATTAAAATAGACTTTCTGGAATGCTTTTTCCATAGAAAACCTATTTCTTTTAAAAGTTTTCATAGTGTGCTTCGACTCATTTCAGGGTAATCCTTATCATCTCGAACCGTGGCAAGAACTTTGTCTACTGTCGGAAATTCTTTTTTAAAGAAGAACGCATGCACTTTCCTTCGAAGTCTTTTTTTCAAAAGATTTTCTAATTGAAATTTTGGTTTTCCTGGAGCTTTACGTGCTGTTTGAAACTCGCCATATTTCTTTTCTTTAACAACTCTGTAAATCGTAGATTTCCCAACACCAAGCGTACTACTAACTAATTCCACTGTGTCATCAACACTTTTACATAAATGTTTTTCTGTAAATGATTTAAAACGATTAAATATTAATGTTTTTTCATTAACTGTTAAAGGACCGATTTTTTGTCGTTTACGCGGCCCTTTCAAATTTTCCATGATCACACTAGAATTCACATTGCACCTTGCAAGTTGCAACTAAACGACATTTAGTATACTGTCAAGAATACACAACTTGGACCTCCTTACTAAATGAAAAACCTATAATCGCATTTTCGGTGAAATTAACAAATTACAAAGGTATTTATCTACTTATAATTCGATTACTGTAAGAAATTCTTGGAATTAAAATAAAACAAAATTGCCAAATAGGTACTTATTGAAAATAATCTTAAGATACGGCTATGTAATCTTTAATACACAGGGCTTTTGGCCTGTCCAAACCTTTTTCTATTGTTCTGTACAGCTTATGTTTATAAAGGACCAATAAAAGACCCAAAACATGTAATAGCTCAGGTACATTTATTACAATTTTAGGAAATATTTAGATTATTCTGTAAAAATATTTAAAATGACCGTACTAAGTTTTGCATTAGAAATGCTGTTTTATTACTCTCTCATACATAAAAATAGACTATAAACTTTGCCAATAAAATACTCAAAACTTTTCAAAAGCATAAATTAAAATAAAAATAAGATAAAACGTTTTAAAAGTAAAAAATATATTTTTGCATCAAAAATAAGGTAGTGCCATGGCACAGTGGCACTACCTCACAAGCCGCCACTGTTATTTAATAGGCAATATAATAGACATTATGTTGGATTCGCTTATCATTTCTCAGAGAATTTTATCAAATTACAGTGATGCGTTAAAAGTTAGAAGCTCTTCTTTTCTGGAAAAAAAATTCTAAATATTTAAAAATCTAGATTTATTTTTTAGGCAGAACATTTTTAATGATTTTAACTTTGATGTGTTTAATTCCAGTGTTGATATGCATATTTTTCCAAAAAACAAAAACTTTCCTCTTGTTCCAGCGGTATATTTTTAATTACAAAACTGCACAACATTACAATTTTAAAGATTTCATCTACCCACTATATTCTTCTTTAATTTATAAATGACTTAATGAAAAGGAAACGGTCTTAATGAGTACCACCCGAAATCAAGTATCAAGTACGTAATAAGTATGCGTGTTTATGTAAATTG